CTAAATGTCTTTATCTAAACTCTATGGATTTAGTTAATTAATTAGGAACCTTATTAAACTAAAACCTTAAAACTCATTTCAATTTTCATTTGTTTCAATTCAAGTAATAGACACGATTTTGTATCAACATTTTTATGTTCTTACGTAAATAATTAAAATAATTCATTGTTTTATATATTTAAGTCTAGTCTCACAAACCGGTTTTTAGTTGGAAATCGGCTTTTAAAAACCGACAAACCCCTATTATTGTTTTATATGTTTCATAAAATAATAATTATTTACAATTAATTTCTATTATGCAATAATATTTGCAGTATATATTTCACAATTAATTTTAATTAATAATTATTACATTTATTACGTTAGTTTTATTGTTGATCCAAAGATTGATTCGAGGTATAAACCAAACTTAGGAAATAATTGTATATGTAAGTAATCCTACAACATCAAGTCGCTTCTTTTCCCTGAGCAGCAGATCATTAGCAGATAGACATTGATTTATGTTAGTTTAGTTCAATTAAGCCGACCTATCCATCTTCGGTACTTTTTTCCTCTAATCATTTAATGACCACAAAAACGAGCTTCTGCAAGAGAATTTGTATCACCATGATATAAGTATACAAGAGAAAGCCCATACAATATTTCAGCTATATCAACATATTTTTCAAGCAAAACTTTCTTATATCTATTTTTTGTATGTTCATACAAAAACTTTCTTTTATATATTAATAAAGGGCGACTAATAACCGAATGGTTAAATCGCCCTACCCACGAGCTAGTGCAAACCAACAAATTAAAATCAAATCATCATAATGTTAACTATCCACCGGAAAAGATTATCCACTTAATGTCAACCGCGATCTTAAATTTACTCAATGTTCACATTGATGTATTGATAATTCTTTCCGTCACAAAATATGAACCAATAAAGATTTGTAAAAGAATAATTCGAAATAGTTATTAACTTGAATTAATTGTAATTATTGAAATATTTTAAATTGAAATAATTAATGAAATTTAAATAAATAATTTTGATTAATTGAAATTTGAAAAAAAAAAATTAAGTTATATGTAGTATAAATTACAAAGAAAACTAATAAAACGACTAAAACAAATTCTCAAAATTATTAATTACATCAACATATTTCTGTTTATTTCAGTTAAATTCCTTTAAAATAAAATTTCCAAATAAAAGATATTTTTAATTGAAAGTTTAAAAGATAAATTTGTTACAATTACTAAAATATTACTTTTTATATGAATGTAAATTAATTAAATCAATACATCATTAAAACATGTAATACATAAATGCAATTATATAAACAAATTATATTTGTTTAATTATTAATTAGATTTTGTAATGCGCAATTAATTAATTAATTAATTATTTAATTAATTAAAACCGAAGTAAAAATTGTGATACACGCAGGATTGTGTAGCAAGGACAATACGAGAATGGTAGTATTTTCCGTTTCCGTTAATTTTTAATTCATTTACAGCCGATGGAAACAAACTCTGCGAGTTTCGTCGAATGAATGGTTTTGTAGGGTGGTTTTGGTATGAGAAGAGGGGAGAGAGTTGGTTGCTGTATATTCAAATGTTTGGCGTTTAGTTTATAATCGGGGCTCGTGTCCTAGGAGTCAGCCCTTCTGGTGGGAAAGGCTGCGATGACACCCGAATTAGGGAGCGAGCGAGATACATGAGCCGCGCATACAAATTATCCTTTCTATATCCTACTAAAACCCCCGCAACCGCCCCTCCCGGAAGGAACGTGCCCTGTAATGACAATCAGGGATTTACTATTAATTTAATTTACGGTACGAGAACTCTTCCGTTCTACATAAAATTTATGCAAACAAAAACATCAGAATATATTCTTTTATAATGAATTACATTAATCGCATGATAATTTAGTTTAATCTCAATAAGTTGACAGTAAATTTGTACTATCAACTTACATTAAATTTACCTACTTCGTAGGATAATTTTTTTTAGCAATTTTTTGAAATTATTCAAATTTAATTTGATCATAATTAAGTAAATACAAAGTAAATACAGTATTATAAAGAAATGTTAAAATAACTTCATTTTTAGTTATATAAAAGATACATTTCCTTGTGGAATACACACTTAAAACTTTCTATTGTTCAGATAAGATTTTATTATAAATTGAACTTCTATAAATATTATACTTAATTTAATAAACATTAAACAAATTTCAAATTTCTGTATTTTTCATTTAAATTACATTTTTTAAGACTTTTGATAAATAATATACATGTAAATATTTGAAGGTGCGTACACACTACTCAATATTTGTCAACTGTTTTTGAACAAAGTGATGATAGTAAATATGAAATTACAAATGCATTTGTAGTGATTGCATTGGTTGTTTATTAGTTATGTGTACCATAATTACTTTCTGATTACTTTTCTAAGTACAAGTAGTTTTACAAGTTGCAAGAAATTTTGTACACACTATGCATTACTTCACTAGTATCACATATTAAGTACTAGTATTACTAGTGAAGTGAATTAAGTACTGCATTAACACATTTAATTAAATTATACTTAAAATGCGTACACACTTTTCAATATTTGTCAACTGTCTTGCATTTGAATAAAGTGATAACAGTAAAACTGATATACTACCTGAATTAGTAGTGATTACATTCCATACTTAACAAAATTGTTTATTAGTCATGTGTACCAGCTTAAATAATTACTTTCTAACTATTTTTTTAATACAAGTAGTTTTAAAAGTTGTAATAATATCTTGTATACATTACACCCTTCTTCGCAAGTTACTTGACAAGTATTAAATATTAAGTACTGCTCTGGCTGCTACTTTTTTGTCAAATTGTTTCTTAGTCATTTGTACCAACTTAAATAATTAGTTTCTAATTACTTTTCTGAGTATAAGTATTCTCACATATTGTATACATTGATTCACACAAGTTACTTAACAAGTATAACATATTAAGTATTTTTATAATTAACACCTTTACTTCAATTATACATAATATTATATAGATCATTTTTATTTAAAACAATACTGCAAATATTTTAAAGTACGTACACATTACTCAATATCTGAAAAATGAAATAATAATTACTAAATACTTCTAAGTACTTAACTTTTATTTTATATAAAATTTTGCATGTGTCTTAAACTATTCTATTCTATGTACAAGTAGCTTTATAAGTTGTAAGAACATCTTTTATACACTATGCATTACTTTACAAGTAACTTGACACATATCACATATTTGATTAAAGTGATTTTAATTCAAATTTTCAGCATTCATTTTCTAATTTAAAAAATGAAAATGCATATATACATTAACAAAAGACAATAATATTCGAATGCAGTCAAACTTGAAAACTGACAATCCAACCGTAATTAAATACAATTCAGTGTGGAATTCAAAACCATTAATTATACAGCGTAGCGTCAAGCGGAACAATTAAAAATTAACTGCAATTATATACAAAGTTCGTCAGCGCAATTGCAAACACGCACGTGGATTGCACAATTGAATTCACAATGTGTAATGTTCGAAAAAAAAAACTTTGGCACGCAGAGATACAAACTAAAAACCTCTACAATTGGAAATTAATTCGTTGGATAATACGTGTATTCGAGCCTAGATGGCGCTTAAACCAATAGAACAAAGTAATTTTGTTTTTGCTTTTTTTCAATATCCGCATAAATGTAAATAAATGTTGGCTAACTGTCGAAAATACAATATACATAAATTTTATAAAAAAAAATATATAAATAGTTGCGTGTATAAAATCAATCGACAACGAATTCTCTTTCAGTCTATATATTCAAATAACTTGTACCAAATAAACAAACAGAAATAAAAGTATATAACACGTACTAGATTAAATTCAATTTGTATATATTGCATATAGAGTTTTTGGACAAATATTTGAAATATCGTGGTTTATGTTTCATTCATTTGTGACATTTTTTATCGATATATTTTTGCTAGATTGGTTTGTTTTTTCGTCGAAAAATAACTGTAGCATTTAATTTCAGGGATTATTGAGTCCATATTCGTTTGATTTATGGGGGCTATATAGCAATAAGAAGATTACGTTTATTTATTTATTTTTTAACATCAAAAAATTGTTCGATTTTCATTCATCTCTAATTGAACATTGCACGACGAGAAATTAAATAGGGGCGGATGTGCAAACAGGATGGAACAGTGTAATGGAAATGATGATCAAGGGATGGTAACATTACTGCAAGTTAGTCGAGTGAAACACGTCGGTTTCAAGTTGCCTTCAATGCAACATCGAAAGTATCGGAGAAACTTGATCTAACGTAGTACTAGTCAATATTGGACCGCTCCAGAAGTTGTTCCTGTTTCAATATTGAACGTTCTAGTCTATTTGTTTACCATCTCTTACATACATATCATATCCAGACCGTCGCGATTGATCAGACAAAAAGACAAACTCAAATCTGTGTACAGAATATGTACACAAACATCAGAGTATGTGTGGAAATTGAAATACTTTACAAGATATTAAATCCTCATAACTTCCATAAGAAATGTTTATGTACAAAATGATATTTTATTTTTCAGTATTTGATTTTGAATATTGATTTTATTAATATATTTCAAAAGATTTCAAAATTCTTATAAATTTCATGAAAAAATGAAGACAAACAAAAAATTTGTAATAATATAACATTATATGAATTTTCTTCAGTACATGTTATTTCATTTTGTATATTGATTTTATTAAAATATTTCACAATATTTCAAATGCTTATACAGTTTTTTTTTTTTTCAAAAAGTATTTTTTTTTGTAGATAATTACTTGATTTTGCATATTGACTTATTTATTAAGATTTCAAATGCTTATAACTTCCATGAAGAATTAAATACAAACAATAAATTTGTAAAAAAAGTAACACTTCATATTTTTTTTATTTTCTATAAGATTAATGAAAAAAGTTGCAATTTACATTCACTTACCATATCGTCAGTGTCGGGAACAAGGGCGGGAGGTGAATGATAAGCCCAAACCTCCTATTTCACCTGAAACAAAAATTTTGATTAGTATAAATTATTTTATTCATAATTTATTTACACAATGAATATTTATAAATTTTTATGATATTTTGATGAATGTATATTAAAATCCAAGGTCACATTTTGAATAATCAATTGATTAATATAATTTCTTTCATAAACTATACGTATATAAATCCGGATATGAACTAGGTATTACTTGCCAAGTATCTTATACACATATTTGGAAAATAGATAATGCAAATACAGTATTGTAATACCTCGCTTAGTGTGGCTACGATCAGTCCAGATTCACTATGGTCCGGATTAAAAAAAAAAACAAAATAATCTAATTCTTGGGTGAAATAAAAATAAATTCAAAAAAATAAAACACAAAATTATTTTTTATATATAACTGATCTTTTTTTGGCTTCAAGTTTTTCAGTCAAATCTCTTTAAAGTGTTAAACAATCCGAAATATAAGTTTCAATTATTAAAAATTTAAAAATAATTTCTAAATTTAGACCGGTGCCTGAATTGGACCACTATTACAACTTGAAAACTATATAGTATTTGCACTATATAATAAACAAGAGAAGTTGTCAAGTTTCTCGATTAATTCAGTTTTAAACAGTCTCGATTATAGATAGAAATTGTTTAAAATGAAAAGAGAATTGCTTTAGACTGGTGTCTGAATTGGACCACTATTACAACTTAACCAGTATATAGTATTTTCACTATAGATCTTCAAGAGAAGTTGTCTAGTTTCTTGATTAATTCAGTTTCAAACAGCCCGGATTATAGATAGAAATTATCTAATCCGAGAATTGCTGAATTTAGACCGGTCCCTAAATTGGACCACTATTCAAACTTGTCCAGTATATAGTATTTGCAATACATAGTAAACATAGTAAATAAGAGAAGTTATCTAGCTCCTCGATTAGTCCAGTTTCAAACAGTCCGGTTTATAAATAGAAAGTAAATAAAATTAAAAGAGAATTGCTAAATTTAGACATCTGCCTAAATTGGACCTCTATTACAATTTCACCAGTATTTATACTATATGGTAAACAAGAGTTGTTGTCCTGTGGTAAAGTTGACTGATGCAATCACTTTGATAATAGACCGCTTCGTGAATTATGTTTGTGAACTAGCTATTGTTTCCCGACAGTTAGCAATTAATTATTTTAGTGCAAACCTGACAATTCTTAGATTGTTTTAGAGTAAGTATAAAATATGACTTAATATCATCACGAAACTGGAAATATGAACAATTATTCTCTCCAAAATAAACATATAGAAGTAAGAGTTACTTAAAACTATGTCAAATATTTAGTATTTTCTATTAGAAATGTATGTTTTTAATTAAATTATTTTTAATTATAATAATTAATAGTCACTTTCAATGTGATTTTTACTATCATCATTTTTTTGCCTAAATTTCTCATTTATTATTATAGATAAAGTAATTTAAAAAAATCAACGTAAGTCGAGGTATTAAATGAATATAAAAAAAGAGCTTTCACCTTTTAAATCTATAAATGTCCGTTACAACATTTTTAATGCATCGCTTTTTCTCTACCCCTTTGACTTGCACATACACATTTTTATAGACATATATACATATATATTTTTAATTTAATTTTATTTCATACCGGTGCGGTTACAGTATGTACGGCGCAGGCTTAATTAATCGTCGCTAAAGTTAAAAGTCCATCAGAGTCGAGGGTGACTGATGAGCGATGCTTTCAGCTATTCATGTACGTATTAAAATGTACGCCAATTCAAATATGTCAGCTCCACATTTGCTACTTACAGAAATTAATATACACGTCCGTCAGCGTTTCTCGAAAATTATTGAAGCCACCAACCCTCCTCAAAACTTGCTCAACAACTGCTTTAACCGAAATTTCAACACCCGAAAATCAAATCATACTTTTAATACCACAACATTTCCAATTAATAATATATGTTTTCATAAATTTTAGACATTTCGTTAATAATTTCGTTATCATGAAGCCATTTGTTAATACATGTTTTACTAATACTTTTACTATTTTATTATGATAAACATTTTTGTAAATTCAAAAATTCAAGACCCCCAAATAATGTTAGTTGAGACTCTAAAATCAGAATGCACTCACATGTTTTTAAGTCGCATTGTGGACCTCATTTCATATTTAAGAATTACAATACCTCGAATAGTGCGGATTCGTATATTTAGTTCCTCGATTAATTCGGTTTTCAACAGTCCGAGATATTGGTAGAACCGATTACCCGCACTATGCAAGGTTTTACTTCTTATATTACTTCTTTTTTCTTAAAAGTATTCACCCTCTACTTAACGTCAACGTGTGAACACCAAAATACGAACGGACTTATGTAACAACCCAATAGTAATTCTGTACAGATATATTTTTAACTTTACGTATTTTCTGGTTTTAAGATCTAAAAAATCATCCTCTTTATATCGATTCTACAGTCAAATCATATACGGAACTTAACATTTGTGAAATGATATAAATTACATTAAATTAAATATTGGAATATTTTCTGATGTTACCACTGTTTAGCACATATATTTATAAAAATACAGGTGACCCGACAACAGCGCGCAGAACAAAAGAGCACAGACGAAAGCACGTAGTAAAACAACCACGCACGACATTCAAGGTAGGGTTTGTATTTTAAAAATACATACAAATTCTCGTGAATTTGACGTGATTGTTTTGCTGCGCGCTTTTGTCGACGCGTTTTTGTTACGGCTCTGTAAATACAGAGTGCGGCAGAGAGACGGACTATTATGAAAATCTCATTAAATCATTCAATACTTTATTTTAAAAAAAACGTAATAATTATTGGAACAAATAGTGAATAAAATTAACCCTATCAAATTAGATTTTTATAATCTTCAGATTCTATGCCGCACTTTGTATTCAAACTTTTTCATAAAAACAAATTAAAATCTCTTAAAGGTTATACTATTTTCTAAGTGACCCCTAACCAACAATTATAATTAAATAAAAGTTTGCTTTACTACTAAATAAACTTTGTATCATTATGAATAATATGACTTCTAAAGATTATTTGCTAAAGTTTTAATAAATTTGTAATAAAAATTCATATCTAATTTTAATTAAACATGAGTTAATTATGAAAGCGATAGTGGTTTGGTCCACATATGGGGCCAATAAAAAATTGTAAATAAATTAATTAATTAAAATTTCATTTCGTAAATTCGTTTAAAATAATAAATTTATAAATCCTTGCCCATAAGTCATTCCGCCCAAATATTATTATGAATATATGCATATTAATATTTCATTAAAAGTTAATAATGCGCATGATCCACAATTTAACTTTATTGCAGAGATGGATATACGGAAGTCAAACTTGCTCGAAATACAAACGGAACGCGATATTGATTAGCGATTTGCGCAAATTCGATTTTTATTGCAGCGTTTTGTTCGCCGGAAAAGTTTTCGCCCGTGGTGCGCGCCCATATTTATGGGCGCTGGAATTTCGGTATGTAAGCAACCAGGACAGACCAGATAAGAATTTATTTGGCATATGTACGGAGGGCCCGGCCCTAAAGTAGGGATGGCAAACCATTAGCACCGTTGCCAAGTTTGGATTTCGTCTGCGCCATTCTTGTGATATAAAGTGCTTTTCAGTCATAAATATCGCCACGTGAATCGCCGCAGATCGATAAGTAGCATTGCCCAAAAAACGAACTTCACGATTTGTCTGTTAACCTCTATTTTTTTCAATGCATTATTAATGAAATTATTTCACTTAAAAGTAAGAAATTACTACATTTTATCTTAAGAACTCAATTAAGATCAATTCCTCGAATTCTGCGGGTAAACGTTTCTGACAGAATGTTTGAAACCGGACTAAGCGAAGACTTAAATCCGCATAAAGTAAACATTGTGCTCAATTAAAAATTATTTTATTTGGATATATTAAAATTATGAATGAATTCTGAATCCGCACTGATCGAAGCCGCACTATGCGACATATTGCTGTATTATTGTATAACGATTTTGTGTACTATTTTCTAAAAAAATATATTTTGTCAATTAAAAATTAGTTAATTTTCACTATAGAATCCGGACTAATTGTAGTCGCACTATCCGGATTGATCGAAATCTCACTAGTTATCGCTGTATATTTATTATAAAAATACTTTCATATAAATTGATTTTTATAAAATAAAATTGCGTGTAATCGATTTACATAATTGTGGGCAAACCGTGTGCATCTTGTATAATTTTCATTAAATTTCCATTCCATTTCCGCTTTTCCGAAGCGATTTCCAAGTGTTTCGCTAAAAATATTCTAATGGAGGATAAAGTGCCAGAATGCGAGAAGATTGTAGAAGATGAAAAAAACGGCGAAAATAATAGTAGGAAAAGAGAAAGAAGAGAGGAAGAAAAAAAGAGAGGTGGAGGAACGAGAACAGCGCATATAACATGTGACGTTGGAAATCCCGCTCTTCAGATTTCGCATGAAATATACATGGATGAAATTTGAATGGACATTCACAGTCATCGCGCGTTCACTGAAACTGAAATTCTCGAAATCCTAGTTTACTTTGCTTGAGAGAAATACGTGTATATATATACTGAGAGAGTGAGTGGGAAAGAGAATGGTAGATAGACGATGGCATTACAGAATTTACTCTAATTCTCATGTAAAACGCATTGCACAATATTGCATTCAGGATTCTTAAAACAATGGTAACATGTTCGAAGCTGCTGATTAATCTATCGTGCAGCAACAGCACCCAAACCAAATACATCGAGAATACCGTTGAAATTCACAAGATTAGAAGATTGTTTCACATGCAGTAATTACGTCTGCTTCGTTTTCATCTAAATAATAATGTTGTGAAAATACTGCTGTTCGAAACCGGACTAATCGAGGAACTAATTTTGTGTATTATTTTTTTACAAATTATTTTTATTTTGCTGAATTAAAATTGTGTTTGTTTCAAAATTTTCAAACCGGATTATAGTAAATCC